ACCTCCCGCCCCCCCGGGGGGTGCGCAGGTCCCCCGGCCACATGCCAGGGTACCGTGAACAGCACCTGGGGGCCCTGCGAGCCATGTACCACACCCTCGAGCAGTGGGCACAAGAAGAGAAGGAATTCCACCAGGAGTTGCTTGCCCAGGGTCGTGCCCTCTTTGAAGATCTGCACACCCTGGTGCAGAGTATGCTGGCCCGTGCTGCTGAAGCGCCTGCTCCTCGTCCCACTTCTTCTCTTCTTCCCATTACCGTGAACAGCACCTGGGGGCCCTGCGAGCCATGTACCACACCCTCGAGCAGTGGGCACAAGAAGAGAAGGAATTCCACCAGGAGTTGCTTGCCCAGGGTCGTGCCCTCTTTGAAGATCTGCACACCCTGGTGCAGAGTATGCTGGCCCGTGCTGCTGAAGCGCCTGCTCCTCGTCCCACTTCTTCTCTTCTTCCCATCTCTGCCTCCTCAACCTCCTCCTTCTCTATCTCCACACCCCCACCTCAACCTCCATATCCTCCTTCCCATCCCCCTGGGGACACCGAGGCCCCCGCACCCATGGTGCTGGGAGACATGTGGCCTGGTGAGACCCCCACACTTGAGCTTCCCCTTCTCCTTCTTCCTCTTGCTTCCCCTTTCCAGCTCCCTCCTCCCAGTTGCCCCCTCCCTTTCCCACCCTTTCTCTCTTTTCTCCTCTCCTGCCTCCTTTCTCCAGTCTCCCCAAGTTTCATCGCTCCTCCCAGTTTTGTTAAATAAAAAGAGAGTTTATATTTTTGAAAAAACTTGCCCTTTATTTTTTACACCAGGAAGGGGGGCTAGGGAGGGGTAAGTGGAAGGACGTGAGGGAGGAATGGGGCATGAGCCCCTGGTGGGGAGGACTGGGGTGGCTCTGCGGGCTCCTTGGGGTGGACGCTCTCCTGCAGGGCCTCCTGGATCCTGACAGCCCCCCGATGGACTCCCCAGATAGCAGTCTGCAGCAAGTGCAACTGGGCTGATGGCCAAGTATTGTGGTGTCCCCAGTGAGGGCACTCAAGGCACTCCAAGACAGGACTGCTTTGCTGTCCCTCATCGAGGTAGACAAGCAAGCAGGGAACCCTGAGAACTGTCTGTCTGGGATGGGGGAGGGGCCCTTTAAGCACAGAGCTCAGTTAGCCTCAGGCAGCAGCCCCACACACTAAGTCCTAACCTGATGCCCTGCCAGCTCTGGTTCTGGCCAGCCTTAACTTCGGGTCAGGGTCCACTCAGTATAGACGTGATATTTTGAATTAGCAAAAGGCTAATTTGAAACAGTTTTTGTATATAGACGTGTTAATTTGAATTAGCTTAATTTTGAATTAAGATAACTCGAATTAACGCTGTAGTGTAGACATACCCATTTACACCAGTTGAGAAGCTGGCACAGAATCCCAAACTCCAAGATAGAGGGTAGCTCTTTATTCTTCAGTCAGCAAGCACCATTCGCTGAGCCATGAAAAGAGCACCTTCTGTGGAAACCAACAGGTACGAATCCTATAAATATTAACATGTCTTTACTACAGTAAGTAGGATGAATTAGTGTGACTTGAAAATGTGACTATTAATGTGTGTATTGATTGCAGTTAAAACACAGCAGATACTATGCATGGATACTAGTAGTAAAATTTTAACCTTGACAGATGAGGATTAGTGAAAAAATTCTTCTAATTATTTAGCACAGTGATATTTCATAGTTAAATGCAAATGGATTCTATTTATCCCCACTATATTTAGAGTCGCTATAATATTGGCTAGATTTACTAGTTCAGACTTTCATGAAAGGAATTAGAGAGAGAGAGAGAGAGAGAGAGAGAGAGAGAAACAAACTAAACAGAAATACTAATTTTCTATAAGCTTGAACAGACATCAAGAACAGCACCAGCTGCCATATTTGTACCTACTTTGTAGGGCTGCAGGTATGCAAGGCCTTCAAATGAGGCTTCCAGGTAGCAATGGAAACCGATTTCTCATCAGCCGCATAACTACGCCATACACACTACGTGCAGGATATATGATAAAAAGAAAAACAAGGCAAGAGGGAGCAGGGGATGAAACAAAAATTGAAAAGCAGATTAGTAAACCAATACAAGTCATGGCTTTTTTTATCATTCATAGCACTGATACATGCCTGAAGGGTGGAAGAATACTTTCATAATATCGCCAGGTGGCTGTCAGGTTTGTTCGGCTGGAATCAGTGGAATAAAACCGCCAAGCAGCCTGGTATGAGGAAACAATAAAAAAGCACAAAGGAACCAACAATATGTGAAATGAAAAAGCTACCATATTGATTATGGAAAGTCTGGACTTTGTTCAAACCAAGAACATTACCTGTTAGATTGGCTGAATAAACATCAATACCAATAAAATCTAGCAAAAATTGCTAATTAGAACATAATAAAATATGACTAATAATTTTTTGGGTCAAATATCATAATTCAACCAGTAAACAGAAAGTGTATGTCATGCAGTCCATGTCTGTTTGTCTATCTAAATAAAATGTTTGGGGCCAAACTAAAAAATCAGAGAAAAACTGTTTCAGATTAAAAATATCATGTAGCTGTTTCAGTTTTTTTCTTGCACAAGCAAACAAACACAGAAAATAAGTTTCATTCTGCTTGATATTTTATGGGGCAGAGGAGTTATTTTGGTTTGGGTGTCCTATTATTCTTTGACTTTAAAAAAAATAGATAAATTCAGAAATGAAACCTCGTTTCAAAATTAAAAGTAAAAATGTTTTGTTTTGATAATTTCAAAATGAACCATGCAGACTTCCGGTTTTTTTCACATTTCATTCAGCTGAAAATATTTAATCAATTCAAATGTTCATGTCAAGCAGTCCAGTTTTGCTTGACTCTTCATTGAAACATTTTCACTCAGCTCTAGTCATAATTAAGGCTGTGAGTTTGTTACACAGGTCACAGAAATCAGATTCTGTGACTTTCCAGAATCTCTGAGACTTCTGCAGCGGTTGTTGTGGCTGGGCTGGGAGTCACCCGAGCAGCTTGGGAAAACCTTGGGCCAGCCGCACAGGCTGCTACCTTGGCAGTCTCATGCCAATGTGCCCTCTTCCCTCCAGTTGACACAGGAGTTTGGGTGAAGGAGTTTGGCTCAGGTCTGGGAGCCATGGCAGAGAAGGGGATGAGGGCAAGGGTGGTGCTTACCTCAGGGAGTTCTCCAGAAGTGGTGTCATATCTCTCCCTCAGTTCCTAGATGGAGGCATGGACAGGAAGCTCTGTGCGCTGCCTCCGCCTGTGCTGCAGTTCCCAGCCAATGGGAGCTGTGGAGCTGGTGCATGGGGCGAAGGAAGTGCATGGACACACCTGGACATGTCTCTGACTAGAGGATGAGGGCTGTTGCTGCTTTTGGGACCCATGTGGAGCTAAGTAGAGAATCTGTCAATGCTACCAACCTCTTTCCCCCCAGCACATTGCAGGGTTTCTGGGGCACATGCTGTCCCCCGCTTCCCTCAGCACTAGCAGGAATCCAAGGCCATGTGCTACCACCTGACCCCCTCACCACCAGTGGTGCCTCTAGGATGCCTACATTTGAGCATCCGCAGACCATTCCCAACCACCTCAAAGTTAGTCAGGAGTTTACAGTACAAGTCATGAACAGGTCACAGTCTATTAATTTTTGTTTACTGCCCATGACCTGTCCATGAATTTTAATAAAATACCTTTGTCTAAAATGTACTCTTAATCATAATGTAATCTGCAAATGATAATAAAACCAACTATAAAAATTAGAGGAAAGGTAGGACATTTTCCTTGGTTCAAGCATTTTTGGTTATTTAAAGCTATGAAACAAATAATTTGGAGAGTGGGAAGCAAATACACAGTATTGAAAGAATTTTCAACTCTGAGATTTATAATTGGACAAAAAACGATGAGCCAGATCATCTGCTGGTCTAAGATGGTGTAAATAAAATGTAGCTACATTGGCTTCACAAATTTACACAAATGGAGAATCTAGCCAGCTAAGTTAAAAGGTCTCCTAGATAATAGAGTACATTTATAATATGTACTGTCATGTTATACTAATATGGACTTGGAAGCATGAATGAGCACAGGATCTCACCTAAATATGGGTAATTTATTACATTGGGGCATGACAGAGTAGGATCTGAATGCTGCATTGCTCTGTGTTAATTCCCATGCCATGCCATTGAGAAATCAGGGCTCTCAAAACTAATAACAGTTTTTACAACCATTCAATTGCAAATGCTGATTTTTATTGCTACTGAATGTGAAAAAATCCCCAGAGCTTTTGGATACCTTATTATAATATTTATCACCAAAATTATTCATAGATTCATGGAGTTAAAGACCAGAAGGGACATTAAATCATCTTTTCTGACTTACTGTATAACTTAAGCCATTACATTTCATCCAGTTACCTATATTGAGCCCAATAACTTGTGTTTGACTAAAGTATATCTTTCAGAAAGACGAAAACATAAAGACTCCATCACTTCCCTTGGTAATTTGTTACAATAGTTAATAATCTTCACTGTTAAAAATGTGTTACTAATTTCCAATCAGAACTTGTGGGACTTCAGTTTCAAGGCGTTGATCCTTGCAATTCCTTTCTCTGCCTAGACTGGAACCCTTTAGTACCCAGTGTGTCCTCCCCATGAAGATACTTATACAATGAAACCAATCTGCTTTTTGATAAACTAAAGAGATTGAGTCTCTCACTGTAAAGCAATTTCTCCAGTGCTTGAATAATGTTTGTAGCTCTTTTCTTCATTCCCTACAATTGATTAATATCCTTGTTAAAATATGGACACTAGGACTGAATGCCTTATTCCAGCACCATCCTCATCACTGCCGGAGACTGTGGCAAAATCACCTCCTTAATTCCATTCTCTACTCCCCTGTTTATACTTTCAAGGATCACATTATCCTTTCTTGCTACAGCATTGCACTGGGAACTTGTATTGGGTTACTTGTTCACTAAGTCCGTTTCAGAGTTATTGCTTTCCAAGATACAGACCCAGTCTACACATAGGCCTCCTTAAAGAAGAAGGGGACAGAAATGAGCAAGTGGTGGATGGGAAGGGCTCTGGGAAGGGCAGAGAGAGGAGTAAGTGGTGGGCAAGCAGGTCCAGGGGTCAGAGACAAGTGAGTAGCAGGTGAGCAGGGGGAGTTGTGGGAGAAGCCTCAGGCTAGGAGGTGGAGAGAAGGACAGATAGAGAGGAGGGATGCAGGATGTGTGGGCAGGATCTTGGTAGAGGGAGAAGATTGGGAGAAGTAAGAGGCAGAGTGGAGTTGGAGTTGAGTGAGTGAAGTTGCGGTTGAATGAGTAAAGCACCCATCAGGAAAAACAAAAGTCAAAGCCTGTGCCCATACACACACACACACCATAAGCCACATTTCTCTTGGAGGTTCTTGATTGACACAGTGTCCCCAAGCCAAATTCTTACCATGTCTGAAATGTTGACTATGAGGCCCAATTTCCCCTACCAGCAACTGGGAAAGTGGCAAAGACCAGGCAGGGGAGGGTGATCTGCCTGAGAAAGTTTGCCCTGAAAGACTGAGCTACACTGTAAGGGAGAAACACACATAGTGAACTGGCTGGAGGACCAAGTCACAAAGGCTCATAACTAAGACAGGTAGAGAGACCATCAGAAGAGAGCGCAGCACCTGAAATAAGCTAATTCCCAGAGTGGCCTGGAGAAGGCGATGGGCAGACCCCATGGCAGAGGCCTACAAGCAACATCTGGCACACTGGAGAGAGCCTGGCAAGTAGACAAGAAGGTTTGGCTAACAACCAAACATCTCCACATTTGTAGACCATCCCATAAACTAGATCACTGATATCTTGGATCATCTGCCAACTAATCAACCCTGCCACTGTTAAACTCTGCCTCCTAAGATTACGCAAAATTCTGTTTTCCTATCTCTCTTTTGAAGCTATTCACAGAAAATCCATTTCTGGGCTGAATTCAACCATTTCTACCAACCATCCATGTCCAGAATCATGAAAAACATATAGTCTAGGGATGTAAAATCGCATTTAATCAGTTAACCGGTTTAATCAGGCAGTGGGCTAATCAGTTAACCATTAACATTCTTAATCTAATCCAGACCAGACTGGATTCTAGAACCATGCAGGGTATCTTGTGGACTGGTGGGGTATGGCCCCAATGAGCAATCCTCACAATTTACCCATCATGTACAATCTCCCAACCCTATAGAGCTGGAGTCAGCAACCTTTTCAAACTAAAGAGCTAAACTATATCAAAATTCAGAACAAGTGGTCAACAGAGAGCCAGCATATGAATGCTCATTTGCATGACTGAAAATATAGAACGTAATATTACTAATAATTTACGTGATGATTAATAATAGCATAAATGAAACACTGTACTCAAGGATTTTATTTAATGGTACTTCTGCTGCTGCATTTATTCACACTTTTTTGAGGTTTATATCATAACTGGTCAAATTCAGCTTCATGCATGCATTCTGGCTGTTTTCTGTCAATCTTCAGTGCAAATTACCTTTGATGTGATTCAAATGAGAGAAAGCCTGCTCACACATGTAGGTGGAGCCAAACACTGAAAGTAAGTAAGCTAACATTCTGCATGGTGTTGTATATGATGGGAAGTTCTTTCCAAATTTGCAGAATCAGATTATCATCATGCTCCAATTTCTCCATGTCAGACCATTTGTGCAATTTTGTCAATTCTTGTGGGACAAGGCATTCTAAATCAGAATTCAGCTTGATAAATTTTTCCACCCAGATATCCAACTCCTTGAAATCTGCTATTTCCATTTCCAAATCGCTGATTGAGATTCCTGGAATGACTGTCAAATCCAGTTCTTCAATAGACGCTTTATGTGAGCGAATCATAAACTTAAACAGAGCACTGTGTTTGCAAAAGTCAACAAAATGAGACTAGAATGCCATCAGGAGCTCAGAAACAAACCCTGCAAGCTGCTGCAAATCAAAGCTGTTATTTGGACTCTCTTTCTGATTCGAATCATGAAACATTTGTAATCTTTCAAAATGTTTCAGTCTACCCATCTCAATATCTTTGATGAAGAGTCAATTTTGATTCAAATCCGAACACTGGCTGCTGCAGAGTCAGGACTGTATTTCCTTGCCCTTGTAGCTTAAGGTTCGTCTCATTTAAATGACTGGTAATGTCAAGGAGACAGTAAATCTTGAGCAACCAGTCACACAGTCTGAAAGCTTGACATGTTTGACACCCTTCTTATAAAAAAAATGACAATCTCATTAATGCAGGTGGCAAAACAAGACAAAACTTAGCCACGAGATAACCAGCAAACATTGTGCATTAGTAGATGGGAGTATTTGGAATCTATTTTCTGAAGCAGTGACTAAACTTGATGGTAATTTATGGCTTGGGGAAGAATCCAGTTCAGAATGCGAACGACTAGTTCCATTACATTTCCAAGTTTGGTTCCACAAGATTGCACACAAAGTGCCTCCTGATGCACAATGCAATAAAAGTTCAAAAATGGATAGTTCAGCTTTTCTGACAAGAGTAAGAAATCCCCTATATTTGCTGACTATGGTAGGTGCACCATACGTACACAGAGACTTAAGATTATCTATCTGTATTTCTTTCTCGTTTACAAAGTTCATCAAAGTTTTAAGGATGTCTTTGCCCCTTGTTTGATTTTTCATTGGTAATACCTCAATCATTTCTTTGTGCACGGCATTTCCACAAATATATTGTCCCAGAATACATGACCGATTAACTTCACATACGTCAGTTGTCTTATGCAAAGCAAACGCAAAATAAGTAGCTGTACTCAAATTTTGCATTTGTTCCTTGTCGATTTGATGGGCCATTTTCACAGCTGTCATGAACTGCTTTTGCCAATAATAGCACATCTTAAATGTTCTGTAAGATTTTTGTCCTTGTTGTGAAACTTATCAAATAGTTCATGATCAATTTTTAGCATGCATCTCTTCACATAATCCCCATCAGTGAAAGGCTTCCCCTCTCAAATAATGCTTTATGAGCCCACACAACTTGCTGAGTTTAAGCTCTGACCTTTTTTGACCATGCCAGCAGGCTGTTTGGTCCAATGTTCATTTTTCACTGTAGCTCTTAGCAGGCTTTTTTTCATGCGTCACCCTCGGGAATTTAGTAGCAAATGCATAATGTTTTGTCTTGAAATTCATTTTTATTGTTTGAGAACAGTATCTCACTACAAATGAGACAGTGTGGAAATCCAGACCTATCCACAAATGCACACAAGTCTGTACAGTCCTTTTGAAAATTTCAGTACTCATCATCTCTCTTTCTCTTTGCCATTTTTGCTGTTAGGAAGTTAGAGTTCACCATCACATATGATGATGGAAAGATTTTTTGACCAATCAAATAAAAAAAGAATATGTACAACCCCCAATGAGTGGTGAGGATGGTTGTTAAAATGAACATTTAAGGTGAACTAGACAAAAATAATCATCTTGGGATGAGTAGTTATGCACTTTTAAAATTTTGAATTACTTTTTCATTTTAATTTAAAAATGTGTGTGTATTTTGGGAATGACAAAACAGCCATCTTTGGTTCCGAACTGAGCCATATTTGGCTCTAGAGCCACAGATTGCAGACCCCTGGTATAGAGGCTTTCTACTAAGGCAGCCCAATTAAAGCCTGGGAAGATGGTGCCATAGGTTTATCCTTGAGCAAGGAGGTGATTTTAGGAGCAGAAGCTCTAGAATCCAGGTCAGCAAACTCTCTGGGCAGCAACACCACCTAACAGTTCTGGTAGCAAAAACACTTGGAGCAGGTCAGAAGCCTCAGGTCCCACCCCCCGTTGAAAGGACATTCCCAACTCCAGATGGGACTAGACTTACTAATTAAACCTGTGTAGGGTTCAGTAAGTTTGTGCAATTAAATGCAACCCCAGCCAGTTGCTGCTATAGGCCCTGCTTCCTTGCCTCTTTCTGCTCCCTGATTTTTGACTTTGGCTTTATCTCCTGGCTCTGATACCATATTTCTGGTATCAGGTGTGTCTTCTGCTTCAGATCACTGGTTCCTGGTTTTCCTCCTAGATCCTATATGTGATTTCTGACTTGGCTTTGACTCCTCCTTCTGACTTCTGGTTCCTGACCTTGACTTAGCCTCCCGGTTCCTGGCATAGCCACTACTTTTCGTGATAACCCCTAGTTCCTAACCTTAGATTGATCCCCTGTGACGTTGATTCCCGATGTCTGACTCTGGATCTATCCACTAGACAATTTGCCCATGACCAATGTGACCATGACACATTGGTACTAAATCAAATGCCTTACAAAAGTTTACTATATCTATGAAATTACTTTGTAAATTCATCAAACAATGCAATCAGAATGTGTATCACTTGGAGAGTTTCACTCATCCTACACAGTAGGTGCAAAAGGAATGATAAAGTTATGATAAGTCAATTAATAATGTATTAACTGCCTTAACAGTCCAACTCCTTTGTCAGCTTCTTAAGTTTAATGAAACAATATTATATGAACTGCTCAGGTTCTTTGTTTTCACTTGCCAGACCATATATTGCACACATTTAAAGAACTGGTTTCAAAACAAGTAAATGAAGGTGATTATTTGCATTTCAGTCCAGTACATGAAATACAATAAAGTTCAGTAGGAAACTGATTTTTTCTCTCCCCCCCTGTATTTAGAATGAGAGAACTGAAATAAGAGTCATCAGCAAGTTGAAAACCATTCTGACAGAAAGTTAAATTATAAAAAATAACATTTTAAATGATCAAATATTCGAACATTTTTCATTTTCTTTTATCTCTTTTAAAACATTGATCTGTACCACCACTTCAATACAGTAGGGGAGAAAATGTTCATCATTTCAAGATGCTGAACTATTCAATTTTGTATTTCTTCAACTGGATGATATGGAAAGCTATTCTCTGGATAGGAAACTACACTTTTAAGGAATATATTAGGTGAGCCCTGTAGTAGTGAAAAGTAATTGAATCTGGGCAAGAGTGCTGTGTTATCTCTTAATCTTGTTCTTTAGTGATCAAATCTGTTTTCCCAAGTAATTTATATTATCAAATGTCATGCATGAATACACACATAATTTGCATCCTTACACAGCCATTTTGGCATGAATATTAGTCTGAAATTCAATAATGCATAGGACCATGCACTGGAAAGCTGAATATAATATTATACAAACACATGGTGTTTATTGAACTCAGTTCATCTTAACAAAATATTCAGTTCATGGCAAATAAACAATAACTTTGCATAATACAGGAGGTAAAATTTATTCAACAAGCACTTTGAACTCTATTTTATCTTCTCACTGCTTTGATATTTACCTGAATTAAACTGGCAGCTGGATTCCTTCTTTTCTCAAAATGTTTCTGACGGTGCTGTTCTTGTACTTTCAGTGCAAAGCCTGAGCCAAGAATACCCTACAGTAAAATACAACCCAACAGTTTTTATCATTAGGAGAAGAAGTGTAAAAATAGTTTTAATACATCAGCTCTGAAGCTGTGAGGATGTTAAAAAATAAAGCACCAATATTTACAGTGGGCATTGTTTTGTCTGATTATTTCTAATAGCCACATTTACTACAGTATAAGGTTTAACAACAGACAATGACCACGCAGTGTAAAATATGAGAATCCAAATGTAAGAAAGAACATTTGGGCTACGTCTAGATGCAGCGCTATTTCGGGATACCAGAAGTATCCCGAAATAGCTATTTCGTGTCTTTTGAGTGTACCCGTTATTTTGAAATAAATTTAGAAATAATGGGTGCACTATTCCGGCATCCCTGTAACTCTTGTGGAACAAGTGTTAAGGGATGTTTCAAAATAAGCTATTTCAAAATAAGCTATGCACTTTACGTAGCGCAAATTGCGTTGCTTATTTCTAGGTAAGGGTGCAGTGTAGACACAACCTTACAGACTTGTTACTGAGAAGCTGCTCATATAAACCATTCGTTGTCGTAGGCTACTGTGTGCTACTGATTCTTCAAACAAGGTATCTGTGTAGGTAACTAAGCATGTATATATTTCACTTAGGCTATGTCTATACTATGAGTTTTCTTGGCAAAAAGTATGCTAATAAGGGACTCCCTTGCATGAGTCGCGATCTCATTTCCATATTTTCTGCTGATCTGTTTTTGTGCTAGGGTTTTTGTGCAAAAATAAGCAGTGTGGATGTTTTCTTTTTGCGCAAAACCCTCTTTTCACGTAAGATTTGCAGAAAATATGCAAATGAGATCGCACCTCATGCAAATGAGTCCCTCATTAGCATATTTTTGGCAGAGAAAACTCGTAGTGTAGACGTAGCCTTAGCATCACAATTCTGCCTTGTAATTTTTGAATTTAGAACATTCAAAAATAGCATATGGCCAGCGCTGTCCCAATGAGGGTACGGGGACTGGGACAAACCCCCACTGCCCCAGGACCTGCCCCTTCCCTGCTCCCTGTCCCACCGTTCCCTAAGCCCTGCCCCTGCTTTACCCAAACCTTGCCCTGCCCCTTGCCCCCTCACCTGAGTAACGTGACCCAGGGGATTATGGGGACTGGCTTGGTAGCAGCAGGATTCACCTCCCTCCACTCACAAAGTGGGCGGTGGGACCTGGAACATCACCACTGAGAAGCCAAGTGCAGTGGGCCAGGAGAGGGCTGGATGGGCCAGTGAGGCAGAGCAGGCTTCCAGGTCACTCTGACTCTTGCCGCCTGTGTGGTAGGTGGAGAGGGCAGGCAACCCCTGCTACTGCCCCATACCAGGCCCCCATAATCCCTTGGTTCCTCCCCATCAATAGGATGGTTGGTACAGCTGCTGCAGGGTCTCCAAAAGTGCAGGACCTGGGGCAGCCACCCTGATTTAGCCTATGGATTGATCACTCTGCATATGACAATTTTTTCAGTCCAATTAATTAATATATAGTATTGATTCCATGGTTTGCAGGGTTACCAATTCAAATGATTTTGTCATGAGTATTATGATAAATTATTGTGTTTCTTAAAGCCCCAACTCCTCAACACATGTGGATATGTGATGATTTCAGCTTACATTTTATTTTAAAGTAGGTTTCTAGTTCTTGTGGTTCTGGAGAGAACTTGAAAATGTGTCCCCATTCATGTCAGAAGGTTCAATAAGCAGATGACAAAAAAGAACTAAAAATTGATTATTTACATAATCTGATTATTATAAAACCAATGTCATGGTTTTTGGTGAGCCTGACTCATGATTTTTGAACATTTGGGATTGGGAATACTGGTTTTGAAATAGAGGTTATAATGAAATCTTTACTACTTTTGACTTTTTTCAACGCAGGAATACTCAACAGGCCAAAAATGCCAATATGCTTGCTTCCAAAGCTTCTGCAAGAATTGTTATTCCACTGAATCATTTTGCATTATAAGGAGAAAAGATTCCACCTGACTCTTATGCAAGAAAAATAAAAGAAAATCCATGAAAAATACACATATATTAAAGCTGACTTTTAATGTTGGTCATTGTTTATGGTTAAATATAAAAAGTCTAATAGCAATTAAAATATTTGTACATCTCTCTATAAGCAAGTGAATAAATAAATACAAGTTTCACGTGTACGGTTTATGTACACAAGTTAAATGTAATGTTATTTCTAGCATATCCAGTATATTTTACTCATTGGATGGTGCTTATTTCCATTAAAGCTTTTTTAAATGTCTGTAGGGGTACATCTACACTTGCTCCCTAGTTCAAGCTAGGGATGCATATGTAGCCAACTGAAATTGCTAATGAAGTGGGGATTTTTTGAGGAGTAACGTTAGTTCAAACCAAGGGGTTTGGTTTGAACTAACGCGTCCCAGAGAGTACTTATTTAAATCCCTGCTTCATTAGCAATTTCGGTTGGCTACATTTGCATCCCGAGGTCAAACTAGGGAGCAAGTGTAGACATAACCTAAGTCAAAAAGTATCAGAGGTGTAGCCATCTTAGTCTGTAACTTTAAAAAGAGCAAGTAGCTCTGTGGCACCTTAGAGACTAACAAAAATATATATAGTATCATGGCTTTTGTGGTAAAACACACTTCATCAGATAAGGTCAAGGTTAAAAGGTTTGGGGTGCATGAGATGGCTCCCGGTTGGGGGGGAGGCTCAGGGTGGAGCAGGGAGATGGGGCTTGGGCTTAGCTGGGAAGCTCCTGGGCAGAAGAACTAAGGCAGGCTGTCTGGTGCCTGCCTGTTGTGGGTTACTGAGCTGGGTCCCAGAAGTGGCCAGCAGGTATCCTGGGGGTGGGGCGTGAGGCCCAGCAGGATGCTGCACATACTGACCTTGCCTGTAGGGCAGAGGCAGTGCACGGAGCCTCACGGTCTCCCCACCTAGGAGCCAGACCTACTATGTTGGCTGCTTCTCCACCAGCCACAGCATAGAGCTGCCCCAGACAATTCTGCCAAATGCAGACCCAAGCCCCAGCATGGGGCTTAGCGTGAACTTAGCTTGCAACCCCCCAGAACTCCTCTTTGGGTCAGGACCCCTACAATAACAACACTGTGACATTTCAGATTTAAACAACTGAAATTGTGAAATGTATTATTTTTAACATCCTAGGGCTGTGAAATTGATCAAAATGGACTGTGCATTTGGTAGGGCCCTAATTATGAGATATGTGTATAACTGTGGTATGAATTTACCTATTTTTGCAGATATAAAACGTATTTCCAACTCACAATTTGTGCCACATCACTCAGCTCCATTTGCGGTTCTCTGTAACCTGAAGTCTTTAAACCATGATTTGAGGACATCAGTAACTCAGGTGGAGGCTAGTGGGTCTATTAAGTTGTGTAAGGTTCTACGGCCTGCAATGTGCAGGTCAGTCAAAAATCAGTGGTTTTCAGATTTCATTATGTTGTAACTCCATTCTGACAACAAAAATTACTACATGGCTCCAGGGTTAAAGTCTGAGCCTCCCTAAACCCTGCCTCCTTGGGATAGGTGGAGAGGCAAAGCCAAAGACTAAGGGTTTCATCCCCATGTGGAAGGGGGAAGACTGTAACCTGAGTCCTGCCCCCAGGGCTGAAGCCAAAGCCGAAGGGTGGTGAGGGTCAGACTTCAGCTTTGACTCTGGGCCCCATCAAGTCTACCACCAGCCCTTGACAACCCCATTAAAACAGGGTCAACAGGATACTTTGCAGTCCCAACTCACAGTTTGAGAACCACTGGACTAGATCATCATACTGATCCCTTCTGACCTTAAAGTCTATGGAATCTATCATAAGGCAGAGGTTTGGTGAGTGGGAAGACCTTAAAAAGGAGGCTTGAAACTCAAGTTTTTATATAAAACGAGGGGCAGCCTTTAAGCTGCAAGCTGTATGCTAAACTCTATGACAGATTCAAATGCAAGTGAGCAAAATACAAGCTTATAGATTATTTTCTTTTGCTTGTTATGGATTAAAGGAAATAGAAAAAGGCATAGGGAAAATGAGCCAGTTAGAATCTTTGGACACAATGGATAAAAACAGCTTAGAAGCCTGTGTGTGCAATATGGTTTACAGCTTCTGCCTGATTTATGCAGTCTACTGCAGTCGATTGATAGATCTAATGTGGTCATTGTAGACCAATCACTTGCAATGTCCTAATTTTCCCAACAGCAATAAATCCAGAAGAAAATATCTGCTCAATAATTTCAAGGCTCAGAGAGAAAAGTAGTACTGGTGTATGAGGCCCAAGTCACAGGCAGAGAAAGGAATTTCTGCCATTCAAAATACAGCAGGGAGTCAATCCTGGGAAAAAGATCTTTTCCATTTTTGATCAAACCTCACACAAATACAAAGATAAGTCTTTTCAATGAAACTTTCATAGGCTCCTATGAGTTTTAACAGTGAATCAATTAAACCAATGAAGAATTCTGCTTCAAAACTGAACACATGGGCCTATACTTTTTTTTTGCTTTTTTTACTGAATAATGTTCTACTTAAACTCTATGGTAATAGATGGCCATATCTGACGTACTAGCTCACAAGCGAGCAACTGTACAGCTTTAGAAATACTGGAGTCATAATAACATAGTGCTCCAGGCTAACGCCACAGGAAAAGGGGCTTTTTGTTGGTTATCCAACTGCATGATCAGATTTCCTTGCGCTATGAAAAGGCACTCTAGAAAAGTGTTAACATTAGTGAAGGAGCTTTACATATTCAAACAATGACTCTTTATGCTGAAAGCTTCCAGCAGCTTCTCAAACCATGTCAGCTTTAGGAGTTATTGACGTTCCTATTACTTTATTTTTATTTTTGTAAAGATACTCACAGCAGGTAGTGCAAAGAAAGAAATGCCAAGTAGAGCAAACCCAGCAGAAAGCAGCCTTCCAAGCCAAGTCAGAGGAGTTTTGTCTCCATAGCCAATTGTTGTCAATGTGATCTATAAAGCAATGAATAAATACCATATGTAATAGAAGTACATGAGAAAAAAGTTACAGGTCAGATGCACAATATGCAAGAACTTTTCCTGCAAATCATCATTCACCAAGATAAATGAAAATCTAGAAGTGTCTCTTTTAACAGAACGTTCTATTTTAGAACCCATCTGTAAAGGAAAAAAGTTATTTAAACAAATGGGTAGGAATAACTTCATAACAACGAATGGAGGCAATGCATGGGACAGACACATGCACCCGCAGAGCCTTTAAATTGGGTCCTACCCATCAAGAGTTATGCATCTTCTCCGACAATGAAGATATGGACCTGAGCAAGTGGAAACTGGGCAGAAAGCACCATCATTTTTTGTGCATATGTAATTGTACATATGTAATTGTACATAATTGTGCATATGTTGAGCGTAACAATCAGGAGTACACTGCAAGAATTTGCACAATAGACAACATGTGTGCCAAAGGCTGCAATGCAAAGATTTAATACTCCAGTGATTAAAAAGGAAGTATAAGTTAATAGGTAAGACAAGGTCAAAGGAAGTGCAGGAAGATGTTATGTTTTCTATGAACACATCTGGACAATTAGAGCAATGCCATCTTTTTCAGCATAACTCTCTCAAGCACATAGGGTGAAAAGGAAAACCAAAAATTACACTGCAACAAGGCTGTGTAAAAAAAAAGGACCATAGGTTTGTCTTTGCTAGCAGCACAGAAATGTTAGAAATGTCTAAAAATGTGTCAGTAGCACAGCTGCAGTCCTGGATTTATGTTCCTGGGGAGATTGGGAGGGTAAAAAAGGGCCCTTGCTGGCTAGAGTGGAGTATGGGGGTTGTGAAAAAGACCACTGAAGGCCAGGGGAAAGAACAAGCCTATGACAGATGGCCCTCCTCGCTAAGTCCCTCCTCACCCCTAACCCACACCCCTTCTACTCCCTGCATCCTGCACTCCTCACCCCCCAACCAATACCTAAGGCCCTGCCCTTACTCTCGCACTCCCCACACCACAAGCTCCCTGCCCTGAAGGACCCAGGCAATTCTGGGCTAAAACTAATGAAAGAAGTAGGTCAAATCATCAGGTAATATCAGCTCAGACATGCATGCATAAGTGAAGAAGGATAGCATTTGTACCACTCTATTCACAACTCCCCTTCATGTGACAGCATACACAACTCAGAAAAAGCTGTGGGGTAGAAGCAGAGGTCTTGTAGCACAAGTACAGATTATGACAGTGCTCAGTATGTGTTGGAAGTCTCTGCCTGGGTAACTCAGGTGCTACTACCACTCACTGAATTTATCCCTCCTCTGACTACAACAGGGATGCAGAAAATACAGCCCACGGGATGGACCCAGCCTACACAATATTTCTATTTGGCTCACCCAGCTGATTGGCAGAGCTGGCAATTTAAAGCTGGCATCGTGTGCTCAGCTGCCCCTCTCCCCACATTGCTTGGTCCTGCAGCTGCTCCCAGGACTCTCTTGCTAGCTGTGCAGGGGGGAAGACAATGGGAGGGGAATAATAGAATCATAGAATCATAGGACTGGAAGGGACCTTGAGAGGTCATCGAGTCCAGCCCCCCGCCCTCAAGGCAGGACCAAGCTTCATCCTCTGCCTTGTACCCATCTCTGCAGAACAGGAGTCAGAGCAAGGAACATTCAGGAGGCTACTACAGTCTAAGGTATGAACTGTGATCCAGACAAATGATTCTTAAAGAGGCAGTGCATTGTTCCTAACATTTCTCCAGCAGCCAGCTCCTTCTAGCTTACACGCTCTGTGTCACACAAAAAGTCTGTCACACACAGTCTCTGTCACATACACAACCAGTCTCTGTGCTCCCCCACAGAGAATCTCTGTCTCACACACACACACACACACACACACACACACACACACACACACACACACACACACACACACAGTCTGACTCTCTCAGTGTGCCTCACATACACACAGTCATTGTTCATATACACACATGGTGGCACATATACTCTCCCAGTCTCTGTGCTACACACAGTCACACACAATCTCACACACCTTGGCTTTGTCTACACTGGCAGGTTCTTGTGCAAGAATGGCCTTTCATATGCAAGAACCCGCAGAGCGTCTACACTGCCCGCCCGCTCTTGCGCAAGAAGATTTAGGGTATGTCTAGACTACATGGTTCCATCGACGGAGCCACATAAACTAGTTTACCCAGCATAGGCAAAGAGGCGGGGATTTAAATAACCCCCGCTTCATTAAAATAAACATGGCCACCGTGCTGTGCCGCCGATCAGCTGATCCAGCACAGCACGGCAGTCTAGACACGGATCTGTCGGCTGGGGAAGCCTTTGCCAACTGATCCCTTATGCCATATGGGGACTGTGCTGGTGGGAGGATTTTGTCTCCCTGCACTTCCCCAGTATAGAGCTTTAGGTGGGCAGAGTGAATTACACCATCTGAAAAAAAATTAATTTTGGACAGAGGAGTTTACTAATTCCAAATGGAACATCAAGTGTCTCATGTCCGGAAGAGAGCAAATTAAACTTTAAAAGAAAACATGGACAACAAAAGGCAGAATGTGATTAGTTGAAATCTTGGCCAAAGAGAACTATATTACTTAATGTTCTAAATATGAACAAGTATAGGCTTAGACAGTTGCCTGACAGAAACCAGTTTCCAAAGAAAATGCCTATGACTTTCTCAAGTCACTCTTGGGAAAGGTGGCCAAAGCAAGGCAGCTCAAGGCAATGGTGATCCCTGGGCAAAGGTAGTGTGTGACAACTCATCTGCCCTGCACTCGCCCTTTAAGGGCAAAACCCAGCGAAGCTCCAGCTGAGGGGGTTATTGCTGATTAGGGCCCAGCTGGGAGCTATATAAAGAAGGGCTACTGGCGGGAGAGAGGGGGACTTACTTGTGCTGGTAAGCAGAAGGACCTGCCTGCCTGGGAAGTAGAAGGCTTCCTGGAGGTAGACCAGTGCTAGGCAAGGAAGTCAGAGCAGGGGAAGCTCTGGCCAAGAAAGCTGCAGGGCCTGAGGCCAGACCTGAATGCAAGAGGGCCACAGAGAGCCAGCCAGGGTAGGAAAAGGCAGCAGGTCCACACCCACTTGCCAATGATGAGTGACCATTTCAGACTGCCGTTTGCCCCTGAGGCAGGAGCTAGATGAAGACTGGCAGTGGGTCACTGAGGCAGGGAGGGTCTAAAGGAATCATGTGTTCCCTAGAGGGGGACTGGGTGTTTCCTGAGAGGGGAGGACACTGGAGGGACTGATAAACACCCTCCCCCGTGCCCTGGAAGAGGGTCAAGAGACTCTGGAATGGGGACTGCTGGAGGACAGTGTCCTGAAGAAGACACTGCGGTCCAAGAGTGATGTAAGAGAGTGAAGTGAGGACACAGGGAGACACCAGACAGAGGGAGGTGTCCAGCGATCAGACAAAAGCTAATCCCCAGTGCTACCAACTGGAGAGGTCATGGAGGTGAGTCTACCCCGTGAAATAGTTTTTTAGCAAATGGGATGTAAGCTCTTTAGGGCTCATAGATAGTAAACATTACCCTGACTGTTTCTATTGTTGAGGATAGTGTACATCTTAGACGAAGGCAGACTATCTCAAAAAGAGGCAGCCATTCACTACACTAGCTGAGCTATTCAAGTGGCTGTGTCAAGGCTAGCCTCTGGGGCTACGTCTACACTGGCAGCTTCTTGTGCAAGAACTGTTTTGTGGAAGAGTTCTTGCGCAAAAAGTCTTCCACAAGAGCATGTGTACACTGGCATGTGCTTTTGTGCAAGAGCATCCATGGCAGTGTGGATGCTCTCTTGCGCAAGAAAGCTCTGATGGACATTTTAACCATAGGGGCTTCTTGCACAAGAAATTTATGTTGCCTGTCTACTCTGCCCTCTTGCAGAAAAGCTCTTGTGCAAGAGGGTTTATTTCTCGTGGGGAGAGGAATAACTCTTCTGGAAGAAGCCCTGTTTTCCAACACTATACTGTAAATATACTTGCGCAAGAACGCATGCGCAGTATAGACAGCAGGCAAGTTTTTGCACAAGAACGGTTGTTCTTGTGCAAGAAGCTGCCAATGTAGACATAGCCTGGGAGACTGACCTGTAGGAATGTTAATATGCCTGTAATGGGGTCTACTTCCAAAAAGAATGTCCTCTTGGCCTCACAAAGATGAAAAAAATTGCACAGTTGCCTGTGAATATGGGAAGCCATAACAAATTCTGAGGCTACTAACACTGTGAAATTATAAACCGTTTTGAGAAAAGTTGGGCAGATACCTTCTACTGACAGCTTTGCTAACTGCTCAAAGTACTTCCTCCTGCCAGTCAGCACCATCCTTTTTTCAGGATTGAGCCTAAATCAGCTGGCTGTCATACATTTTCTCATCACTTTCAGAAACTGGGGAATGAGGAGATATCTTCAATAGGGCTGAGGAAAAGGCAATGTAGATATCAGTGTCATCCGCATTCATTGAAGAGTAACAGACTTCTAAAAAAGTTACACACACTGAGCCCTATGCGTTTTGACCCCCTGAAATCCCTCTGGAGAGAAGAACAGTCAGTAAGCACAAATTTCTGGAATCTTTCTGAAGAAAAAATTGGAACCATATTAAAACAATTCTGTATTCTCCTGTCAGATCCTGAAGACATGGCAATATCACCCTCACATAGAACTGGAAGAATAGTGATAGAAATGTAGCCGTGTTAGTCTGGTGTAGCTGAAACAAAATACAGGACTATGTAGCACTTTAAAGACTAACAAGATGGTTTATTAGATGATGAGCTTTCGTGGGCCAGACCCACTTCCTCAGATCAAATAGTGGAAGAAAATAGTCACAGCCATATATACCAAAGGACAGAACTGGATATAGAACTGGAAGGGACCTCAAAAGGTCAGCTAATTCAGTTCCCTACCCCCACAGCAAGACCGAGCACTTTTTAGATAATCCCTGATTGATGTCTATCCAACCTGCTCTTAAATATCTCCAGTGATGGAGATTCCATAATGATGAAGTCTATCGATAATGTCCTGTTTCCTTTTAGCTCTTTCTCCTTCACCAGCAGGATGGTTCTCATACCACTGCACACAGTTGACAACATTATGTGCTACCTCCTAATAGCAATAGGCATGATTAAGCTGTTAGATTCCAGTGGCAAGTAAACTTAGAAAACACATTTCAGTGGAATTTCAGGGATTGTTGAAGAACAAAAGCAATTATCTTTAATCAGATGCATGTACAGATTTCTTCTGCTATATATGTTAGAGAGCCTGCCTGTCTCTGAATGTGTCTGTCTGGGAGTGTCTCTGTCTATTCAAGCACTCCTCCTAAAAGGTAAGAGCTAGAACTACCAAATTTGGTATACAGCTTCCTCTGATCATAACTTAAAACAAGCTAAAGGTTTGGTTGTGCCAAGAAAATGGGATGTGCTCACAATGGAATTGCTTCTCATAAAACTATATAGAAAAGAGACATTACCAGGCATGTGAAAGGGGCTCGGGAAAGCGCTGTCAATCCAGAGCCTCCCAGCTTCATGCACCCTTTAATGAGGATGGGGGGACTGAAGCTCCCACCACTCAATTTGTATAGGAACATTGCTGGCTGTTCTCTTTTCTCAGGGAGCAAGAGGGAAATGCACAGTTTGCTGCATTCCTCAGTCTGTCTGGGGAGCACAGGGACAGACAAACCTGGACTTGCTCCAGCCAGGGAATCATAGAATCATAGAATACTAGCACTGGAAGAGACCTCGAAAGGTCATTGAGCCCAGTCCCCTGCCCTCATGGCAGTACCTCTCCTCCAGCTGTGCCTGCTGGAGCTGTAGAAGTCATTGAGAGGTGCTTCTTATGTGGTCTCAAGCTGCTGCAGTGAGAGAAGGCTGGTATAGTCCTCTCTCCCTGGAGCATCCTGCATACTGCCCCCCCTCATCTGCATCCCAGAGCAATGATTAAATGAAGATAAACAAAAATTAATTGCATTAAGGACACGAGTAACATGTAAATCTTCTAGTAATAAGAAATTCACTTTTGAATCGCCACATACCATGAGGCTAATTGAATGAATTAAATTTGTTCAAGTTCTGATAGCATTGAATGGGAAATGTATCATCAGTACTTCATATTCATTGTAATAACTTTATCTGTAATGAATTTATTTGGTATTCACATAGTTTTCGGCAGATATTCTATTATTTTATTGTAATTACAATGTATTATTAGACCAGAAAAAAACCAATATTACTGAGAGAAACTCTGAAAAGGCTCCAGAACCTTTTATACACTGTACTAAATTACACTTTCAGGCAAAACAAATTTCCATATATGACAACTGCAAAACGCACAAACTTTTGTATAGCACTGAATTGCTAGGCAACTCCATCAGGACTTGACTAACAAATATTTAAGCCAAGGAATGCCCCCTTCCTTCCATCCTTCACATTATACATGGTCTATTAAACTAATTATTTGCCATCTTCTCCAAGTACTCTTGCTTTCTGAGTCCTGCCTGACACCCATTAATCTTGGCTGTGTGCAATGTTGTTGTAGCCATGTTGGGCCCAGGATATTGAGAGACTAAATGGGTATGTGGGTGAGGTCAAAGACCTAAAGAAGAGCTCTCTGTAGCTTGAAAGTTTGTTTCTCTCTCCAACATAAATAGGCCCAATGCTCTCAGTCACCTTGCTTCTCTATTAACATTGGTTGGCTACATAAACCAGAATTCTGGGAGCTCCAGCCATAAGAAAATCCACATTGATGGCATGCGTGTTATGTCACAGTTGCAGACTGGAAATCTAGATATATTTAAACTAACAGGTCATATCCTGCCAGTGAGAAACTCCCATTGACCTCAACAAGATTATCACACATAGAATGATGGCAGGATATGGCCTTCAGATAACTTGATTTAATGACTTTGCTAGTGTGAGTTAATTAAAACATACTGGATATGATGAAAAGGCATGATGAGTGTTTCAAAAAGCTTAGATTTTTAGAGGATTATGCATGGTTTGCTTTTTTAAAAACAGGAACATTATAAAACCATTCTGGGATTTGGTGTATACAGTGTAACTGTTGCAAATAAACAAATCAATGAGAATAAGTGTTGATACCCCTTAGAATGCCATGTGATCTGACCTTTTCAAAATCTGCATGTGGGTTATTCTGGCAATCTAAACAAGCAAAACTACATTTTCCACATACTGTTTTACATTATAATATAGCAATTATAATTATTAAAAAGGAAACAACAAAAATAATGAATCAGGAAGATACATCGATTTTCAGTACTTTTATACACCTGAATATATTTAAAATGTAAACATATTCAGGTTAACTAAAGACTAACACAAACAGTTGTTTTCAGGATTTTTTATTATAATTTGTTTTCCTGTTGATAGCAAGAAAGAGTTCCTGTGTTCTCAGTATGAACAAATTATCTGACCTATGAGTCACACATTTTCATTTTCACCATACACAAAGTATTGTAAGCCACTATTTTATAAAATGATTGCTTTCTAGCAGGGCTTTTCCTTCTAAAATATCAAGAGAAGAAGCAAATGATAAATTAAGCTCTTGTTCATGCAGTTAGAATGAACTGAATGCAACAGACTACTGGATCAATGCCTGGTTTTGTCAAAGCACTGCCCTGCTATCAGCCCAATCCTGCATTTGTGAAACAGTTCAAACTCTTATTGACTTTGGACCAAAGTCTGCTTTCAGTTACATTGCAGTAAATCCAGAATAATTTACTTTGGTGTACCTGAGAGTAAAGTTTGATGTGATGGGTTAACTTTAATTCAATGGGAGTCTTACTTGCATTAGGATTAAAAGATCAAATATTAAATATTTTATTAGACAATTTTTCTTGATATTTTAAAACAAGTTTCATTTGGAAAAATACTTCTGCATTTTTTATAATTGTTGGTGTCATAGATACTTTGGGTTCTGCATGTCCGGGCTTGCATTTCTACTCACCGACTGTTCAAAATTACAATCTTAGGGAGGAAGGGTAACCTATGAACTAAAAATAGCAAACTGGTTCAAATAACCTACCTTTTGCCTAAAAAGTAAACAAAATTCAAAATTCACATTCTTTAGGGATTCATAAATCCCTGGGATTTTTTTTTCATTGTTTCTATAAGCAAGTTCAGGTTTTGACTAGATCTGAGTGGAAGTACAGGAAAGACTTGGGTCTGGTTGAGTAACTGTCAGCACAAGACTTGAGGTGGGGAAGTTACCTTTCTAGTCCTCTGATCATAGAGAATGCTAGAGGCTGGTTCAGTCTCCAAGGCTTCTTTTAATCCATTTAAGGGATGCTCTAAGTTATGTTGACACAGCTGGCACCTTTGCACTGACTGGCTGGAGAACATGGTATTCCGTGTGCCAGTGGGATATAGGAATGCTGCTCTATCCCCTGGAAATTCCTCTATAGGAGGTGAACAAGCAGCTGCTCTGTTGGGGTGGCCTTCCAGATATTTGGGTAACACAGTGTAGTTGGACTTAGGCCAATAATCTAGTTCACCATGTGCACAGTATTTCTATTCACATGGAAAAGAGAAAAACTAGAAATTTTGTAAGAAAGTTTGCTCTGGTAAGATTTTAAAACAGATTTCAAGATCAAAAAGGAGAAATCTGAAATAACTTCAAACATCTAGAGCGGATTCTCCATTTTCTTATATCATGCATAGTTACTTAATCCCTCATTTGTCAAAGCAATTAAGCGTATGATTATTCTGAAGCATATGAGTGATCCTATCCCTTTCTGCAAAATACTCAAACATGTTAAAAGTCCCCAGGATTTCAACAAAGTTGGTGCACCGAAGTGAAGACCCGTGCTTAAAGACCTTGCTGAATTGAGGCTTCACATCTTTGTAAAGCGGATATAAAAATGCTACCAAATTAGAATGGAATGGTAGCATTTATACTGATTTTTCATAGCAGTACATGCCCTCTCAAGGCACGAGCACAGGGATATTCAGGGCCACTATAAATTAGCATTTTCATATGTGCATTTGTGTAATACAAAATATTTTACAGTATTAGTTAAATAGTTCAAATGATCTTTTTGTACTTACTGTGCCCCACCAGAGAGCATCTGCATATGTAGAAAACTGGGTATTTGCATCTTTTTCCACCAGATAGACAAGGAAAGAAGAAAAGATGAGTACTAAAAATCCTATGTACCAGGCTGTGATTAATTCCTAGATAAAAGAAAATAAAGATGAATCTATATTAAAAAAGATGAAACATAGAGTGGAGTGTCATTTGAAGAACGAAATAATTAAACAGTTCGTATTGTTTTGGCATTTTAGCAGCTACAAATCAAATGCTTCTCAGTTCACATACATTGTTTCTAAACAATGGTTAGAAGCGGTTGGCAATTTTTTGACAGATTTTTTTTCCCCTACATTGAAAGAAGGTTGTTTATAACCAGAATGGACAAAGAGACAGCTAATGCAGAACAGCCAATAGACCTGTGATTTGGGCACTCTTCTGGGATGTGGCAGACCAAGGTTGAAGTTCCTGCTTTGTGTGATTTGGAGGAGGGATTTGCAGCTAAGCTTCCCACATTCCACATGAGGCTCCAACCAATAGGCTACAATGTCATTCTCTCTCAGTCTTTCCTGTTGGAGGAGTTCTACTTGATATAAATCATTAAATTCTCATTGGGCTAGAGAGATATTATTCTTTCATTTACATTATTTATTCTGAACTGCTCATGCCCATGAGTCCATCAACAAACTGACTTCAGGGTCATTAGCTATACCACATGTCATGGACCTCAAAGCTATAAACAAGGATAGAACTCAGAATGAAGAGCTTATACGATGAAATGACTAATATGCGTAATTAGCCCTGCCCTCTGCTCACTGGTCACATAGTCTGACATTTTTTCAAGCATGCTATTCACTATCTCGTGATTAGCTCCCAGAAATTATATGCATTAATGATACTGCAGCTATAGAGATTCCCTTTTTACCTTATTTAGTAATGTTCTGAATTTTGGAGTCAAATATCCACTGCTAGGCTATTCTAGTCTCTATTTTTCTCTCTCATTTTCTTTGCCAAAGGTTTTGAAAGGCTTCCAATGCAGAACAAAAACAAAATTTGAAAACTCATTATTTTTCATGAAGCAGAATTCTTGTCCTTTGGCCATCCTGAACAATGGATCTGATTTCTCAGTTCAGTTTGACACTCATATAATTTTACTGATTTCCACGGAATTACACCAACATCCAACTGATGGTGAATCAGAACCAATATTTTCAGCATTTTTTTTAAGAATGTAAATGAACATGAAAGCTGTATATTTGATAATGTATAACATTACTTTAGGAGGTTTTAGATATTCACTGCTATCTTATAAACATATGGGATGATGTTGATTAACAGAGTTTCATAAAGTTTTGTTGACTGCACTGAAGAATTATATAAAACAAATGTTTGTGACAATTACCTTGCTATGTGCATAAACTACTGAACCTAATAATTTCCAAGTGCCTCCTCTTCGGTCCATGCGCACCATACGAAGGATCTGTAGGAAACGAAGACTTCTCAGTGCTGATGTTGCAAAAATGTTACCCTGAGTTTTTGCAGAAACAACTGCTATTGAAGCGATGAGAACAATGGTGTCTGAAAGAAATACATTACATAAGATATTAACGTATCTTTAATATGTATGTACATATGCTGAGTGAAGAGAGCAGTACATAAAAACAAGTTCTTACTTCTGTTCAATTCACCAGGAATTTTGTCTGAGATAGGACTGTGGAATCAAGACAAGAGCCTATAAATGTGCTTAGACAATCTTCAGGATGAAAAGCATTAGCTGCATTAGAAATATAAAAAACCTACACTGATAAGGCATGCAGTACTGAAGGTACTAGGTGCGTTGTGGAAGGTATTTTCAAGCCCTACATGTGGAACTTTATAAATCATCTGATGGTTTAAAAGTGTGGCACTACTTTCTCCCATAGCAACATTCCTATGAAAAAGGCATTTTAAAAAAGAGAGAGAAAACAGAGCCCTCTCAGTTACATGAGTCAAATGGAAGTATTTTAGACTTATAAATATACATTTTCATTTCCTATGAGTGCAAATAGTATAAGATGCAATTGTACAGTAATGAGCTTACATATACAGGCTCCCTTTATAAACAGTTTCCTGAAAGGAAACAAAAATACCTTGGGTACATAAATGTACCCAAGCATTCATTTAAGTGCCACTCTGGAAAGTTCCAGCACTCCGAGTGTTAATGGTTTTCATTAGAATTTGTTTCTTCATGACAAAGGTTTAAAATTTTTGTTCAGTCCAGAGTGCTTGTTTATAACTCTTGGAGCCAGAGCCATGCTTGAGAGACAAGGAGAAGAAGAAACACGGTTTAAGCAGAGACAGCTAGATGCATTAAGGCCTGAAGGAACTATGAGCAGGATGGAATAGAGAGGAAATTTAAATGTTGGATGCCAAGTAATTTTATTTTAAAAATCATTTAAAATATATAGTTCAGAGAAACAAGACTTGGGTGGCTAGCCCTTACTAATTGTTTCTCTTATCACCAAATGAGGGCTGTGACTCCCAGGGTATGTCTAGACTACATGCCTCTGCCGAACGAGGCATGTGAATTAGACATACTGACATAGTCAATGAAGCGGGGATTTAAATATCCCCCACTTCATTAGAATAAAAATGGCCACCACGTTGTGCCGGCTCAGCTGTTTGTCGGCACGAAGCAGCAGACAAGACAGGGATCAGTCGGCAAGGAAAGCCTTTGCTGAACAGTCCTGTAATCCACTGTTCTATTTTTGCTAACAGCTCAACTAAACCCTTCCTGCCACTCTAATAGCATTTGAACGGTTAGAATGGGGTGACATATTCACGTAACGTGATCATTTCAAAAAAGAGAAAAAAAGGTAAAAAGTGACTGACCCATTTATAAGCTTACTCTAGAGTACAGTCACAATTTTTCAGCTTCAGCGCGAGCTGAAGGACATGCAGAATGCAGGGCATGGAGTTTCTCAGCTCCCATTGGCTGCTGTTTGCTGTTCACAGCCAATGGGAGCAGAGAGGCTCTGTGCCTGAAAGCAAACAAACTCAGACTCTACAAGCGAACAAATGGCCCAACTCAGAGTCTGCAGCACTTCCCAGGGTCACTTCCTAGCCCAGCAGGGCGAACCACTGGCGTGCTGGGACTTTTTATCCACGTGAAGCGTCTTTAGGCTTGGAGCCTGTCAGCTCCCAGTTCCTGCCTTTTGCTGTTGTGGGTCAAGGGGAGTGGCGGGAAGTGGTAGCCAGCATGTCCCTTGGCCTGCACTGCTTCCTCAGTTCCCGCCCCCTCTATCCCCTTCTCATCTACAGAGGATACGGTGAGGGGACTCTCATGGCCAAAGGCAGTTCCTGCTCTTGTGCTCAGCCCTTGACAGGGCATGGAGCCATGGGGGAGAGAAAAAGAGAAAAGGAAAAGAAAAATAAGAGTAGAGCCCACCATGGGACTGGGAGGGAGACTTGGATGAGTGAGGTACTTGAGAAGTACCAGTAATTAATTAATTCTCCAATAATATAAATAGTCTATCCTTAAGTGACTTCCTACATCAGTAATAAGTTTAGAAAGCACCATAGATTCAATGTTGGTACATTAGGCATTTTATTCTTTCATAGCAGCAATGCTAGGAAATTATATTAGGAGCTCTTCATTTATCTTACATATTTGCAAGTACACATTTCAGAAAGGTATTTGACATTTAAACATTTAAGAAACAAAAAATTTAAAACATTTCCAGTGAATGTGTGTGTATGTGTGTGTTGGGGGGAGGTGGTATAGCCCATTTTAACACCTACATGTACTGGTCTGATAATACATTCCTTTTTGAGGTATCCCGCATGCAAAATATATTTATATATAGTATATAATATAATGTGTGGAGAAAGTTAATAAGGAAAAGTTATTTACTTGTTCCCATAATATAAGAACTAGGGGTCACCAAATGAAATTAATGGGCTGCAGGTTTAAAACAAATAAAACGAAGTTCTTTTTCTCACAGCACACAGTCAACCTGTGGAACTCCTTGCCTGAGGAGGTTGTGCAGGCTAGAACCATAACAGGGTTTAAAAGAGAACTAGATACATTCATGGAGGTGAAGTCCATTAATGGCTATTAGCGAGGATGGGTAAGGAATGGTGTCCCTAGCCTCTGTTTGTCAGAGGGTGGAGATGTATGGCAGGAGAGAGATCACTTGATCATTACCTGTTCAGTTCACTCCCTCTGGGACATCTGGTATTGGTCACTGTCAGCAGACAGGATACTGGGCTGGATGGACCTTTGGTCTGACCCAGTAAGGTGATTCTTATGTTCTTCAATTTTTTTTTTATACACATAATCAGTTTTTTTTAAATGAATATTTTACTTGACTTGTTTTCATAGAATCATAGTCTTCTGGAATTTTTCCTGACTTCCATGACTTTTCAAAGATGATAGCTAAAGGCTCAGATACCTCCTCTATCAGCTCCTTGAATATTCCAGGATGCATTTCATCAGGTGCTGGTGACTTGAAGACATCTACCTTTTCTAAGTAATTTGTTCTTTTAAATTTTAACTTCTAAACCTACCCCATTTCTACTAGCATTCACTATGTTAGGCATCCCATCACCATCAATCTTCTTGACAAAAATCGAAACGAAGAAGTTGTTAAGCACCTCTGCCATTTCCAAGTTTCCTGTTATTGTTTCTCCCTCTTCACTGAGCAATGGGCCTACCCTGTCGTTGGTCTTCCTCTTGCTTCTAAATATATTTGTAGAATGTCTTGTTTTGTTCAGATAAGGATTACATTTGCCTTACACTGGTATCTCATACAAAAGGGAGGTGTGTGTTGTCCTAGGAAAAGATACTCTTTGTTTGTCTTTGGTTTTTCTGTCTCTTGACCCACACACCTTAGGGTTACAATACCTGTTTGCTATAGGAATTAAACTTCTATTTGTGCAAAATATCTAAGTACAATTTTCAATAATAAACACATCTTCAAACACAGCACAGAAGCAAACAGTGTAGAAGATAAACCAAGATAGAGTTTAAAATGAAGCTTTTTTGAGTTTGTACAACACACTATGGGTTAATCAACATAGTTTTACAGCTAAGGAGAGGTTATTTTCCTTACATTTGCTTGCCCTTGGGAGAAAGAAAGCAAAGATCTCCTCCAATTTCTTTAACCAGCCTGAATATTTTTCTAACACAACCAACTAAAACATATATAGATGTTGAATTCTCAGGCACCCAGACTTTAACATAACTGTAGCTATATCTTAATCTACTATGTATTTTAGAGAGTTTCTCTGTCTGTCTGAGCAAGAACTCCTCCTAAATTCTTTGGGCTACCAAATTCAGTGTACACTGTGCCCACGAAAGCTCATGATACCATCTACATGTTTTGTTAGTCTATAAAGTGCTATCAGACCATTTGCTTGCTGTTTTTTTTTTCTGTAACAGACTAACGCGGCTACCCCCTGAAGCTTCTGATAACAACTTAATTCAAGGTAAAGGCTGGGTTGTGCCAGGAAAACAGGATGTGTCCAGATTTAGTTTGCTTCTCATAAAAACAAACAGAAAAGAGACAAAATCACCAAAGCAAGTACAGTCTTCAAAATTGACATAACTGAACGAATGTTGAAAGGGACTGAATCAAGATAAGCCAGAAATATAGAATGAATCTGGAATAGGATTGCTTCTCAATAAACCTTGCAGAAAAGATAAAATGGAGAATTTGGAGTAGGGCTTTGTTTTGGCACTAGCAAGCAACACCAGATAAATCTGCTAGTACTCAATAAAGGCACAAACAATAATATTAAAAAAGTGACGATTTTATAACTAACGTTTTTGCATTGATATTGAGGTCTGTCAGAGGAAGGCACAATGCAGTAAACAACACTGTGGTAGGTGTACTCACTTGTGACTCTTGCTACTTGTTTGTATAACATATAGCTTGTATCCCTCCAACCATAGCTTACTAGCTCTTATGTAGAGGGATGGATTTGAGGCATGGTCATTTTTTCATCTCATCTGGACATGACCCAGTGCTGCTAGCTGTAGTTCCCTTGTGGACAGGGAACACAAGGCAGAAGTATAATGGCTGCTTTCCATAGAGGCAAGTGTAATAGAGTATGTGCTCTGTCTACCTTAAGTATCCATATAAGTCCCCACAATATAGAATCTAGTGCCTCATATTTAGCTCACAATCCCTCTGTGAAATAGGGAAATGCAAATGGAGAACTCAGACACAGAGAGACTAAGCGTATGTCTACATTGCATTCGTCTTTCAAGAGAGGAACGCAAATGCAGACAAATGAAATTACGAATGAAGCGTGGATTTGAATTTCTCGCGCTTCATTTGCAAAATCGCGGCCAGCCGCTTTTTCGAAATACCAATTTTCGAGATAAAAAATGCTGTTTAGATGAGGTTATTTTGAGAAAAAAGGATTAAGGGTTATATTTCAAAAGAAGGGTTTTTTCCTCAAAATAACTGCGTCTAAACAGCATTTTTTTCTTTCGAAATAGGATATTTCAAAAAAGTGGCTGGCCACGATTATGCAAATGAAGCACGGGAAAGTCAAATCTGTGCTTCATTTGTCTGCATTTGCATTCCTTT